GTTATATTTATATTTTAAGAAAAAATATGTTAACCGTTTAGTTAATAACTAACAGTAATTAAATCGGTAAGATTAGGAATAGTACAAGTCCAAAAGTAAAATGTTTGATAAAATATTTCAAAAAATCAGTTTTATAGTTCTAAATGCATTTTTGTTAGACTATTTTATGAAATATAATATTCATATTCTGTAAAATAATTTATATCTTCTCACAAAAATGTATTTTTAACTTTAAAATTGATTTTAGAAAATAAATTGTCAAAATTAAATTTTTGGACTTGTATACAGTATACTGTTCTTATTTTCACCGATTCAATTGTAATGTGGATCTTAATACTTAAAAATCTCAACAAATATGAAGTTTGCAAAATACATTCTTTAGATTGTTTACTATTTTAGCTGTCATTTAAAATTTTAAGAAAGTTAAAAATCCTTTTGTTTAATATATAACACGTGTTATGACGTGTTTTGACTAAAAAACGAAATAACGTTGTTGTTTTTTAAGAAACATTTTGGTTGTGATATTATGTCATTTAAAAAAAAAATTAAAATAGAACTTAAAAATATATATTTTTAAATTACTTTTTAAAAAAGAATTTTTTTAGCACTGCCTTAATTAAACGCAAGTCAGGTTGGCCTATTTAAATTTAATTTTTAGGAGTTTTAGGAGATTGAATGCTATTTTAGGAGAATTTTAGGAGTTTTCAAGATTTAAGCAAAATTTTAGGAATTTTATGAGTTTTAGGAGGTGTGGGAGCCCTGCCAGCAACACGCAAACTAGAAATCAGTCGTGACGTTAAATTTTCTGAAGAAAATAAAAGGTTCACAGAAATGGATGTTAATTTTCAATCCCCTAAAAGGAGAAACAATGAAAAAGAAGAAATTGATACCCAGATAGAAGAATCTAGAAATGAAGAACAGGAAATACATATGAACGAGGAACTAGTTTCCCTTAGAGTCAGCACAAGGCCAACAAAAGGAAAACCAGCCAAGAGATTGATCGAAGAAATTAACTTAACGAGTGAAGATGAAACCTTATGCTAGGAGTTTTAAAGAAGCGATGTCTAGCAAAGACAAAAAAATGGATTGTGGCTATGCAAGAGGAAATGCAATCACTTGAAAAAAATAACACGTGGAAATTAACTCATTTACCTGAAAAAAGAGAAGCCATAGGATGTAAATGGGTATTCAAGATTTAAAAGGAAGAAAAGGGGAATATACAGCGATACAAAGCACGACTTGTGGCTCAAGGCTTTTCACAAAAATTCGGAACAGATTTTAATGAATTTTTTGCACCAGTCGTTCGTCAGTCAACGTTCAGAACTTTATTGTCTATTTCAGGAAACCAAAGTTTAGTTGTTTATCATTTTGATGCGAAGTCTGCTTTCCTCAACAGAACTTTACTTCATTTACATGAAACAGCCCCTCAGTTTCAACCATGAGGATTCAAACAGAGTATGTTTGTTGAAGAACCTATTTATGGACTGAAGCAGGCAGCAAGGACTTGGAATGAGAAAGTTAATGCAACCTTGATTGACGAGGGATTTGTACAAGGAAGAGCTGACCCGTGCCTATATTCGAGAAAAATCAGAGATGATTGGTGTTACGTATTGATCTATGTTGATGACATGATCGTCGCCTGTAAAAGGGTGGAACACGTAAAGTTGAAAAAACTACTGGCAGCAAAATTCTAAATGGAAAATCTTGGAAAGATAAGGCATTATCTCGGAATCGAAGTGAAAAAAGATGAAAGAGGAAATATTCAACTAAGTATGCAAAATATATTGAACAAATCGCGAAAACGTTCGGATTGCAGGAGGCAAAAGAAGCGAGGACACCGATGGAAGTTGGGTACTACAGATCACCTACAGATGCATCTCAGATGATCAACAATTCAAATTATCAAAAGTTGCTCGGATGCCTTTTATATGTCTATTATTACAAGACCGGATATCACAGCAAGTGTCAACATTTTGGCTCAGAAAACATCAAGTCCGAATCAAGAGGATTGGGAACAACTTAAACGAGTGGTAAAGTATTTTAAGGGAACGGCAAATTTGAAATTAAAACTCAATGACAATGATAACGAAAGAAAGGCGTTGATTGGATACTCAGATGCAAACTGGGCAGAGGATAAGGAGACGCGAAAATCAAACATTGGATATGTTTTCTTTTTGAACGGAGGAATCATGAATTGGTCATGCAAAAAGCAAACTTGTGAGTCATTGTCGTCAACCGAAGCAGAATTCATTGCGCTATCCGATACCTGTCAAGAGACAATTTGGTTACAGAGGCTGCTGGAAGATCTGAATGTGGAAATTAAAAAACCGAAGAAAACAATAACAAGGGCCAGCCACTTTAGGGGACTTACATATGTATATACAACTGTTACGATAAACATTACGACATCTATGAGATGATGTTCCTAACTACCCGACGTCAAGGAAAGAGTTGGACCAAAGATTATTATCTTTGAGTTGGACTACCAGAAACCTGCAGTTAGACTGAACTCTAACAGATGGCGCTTTGACAGTTGGTGTTACCAATTGTGAACCCGAAAACCAATGTTGGTGTTCACTAAATCACAGAGAACTCTCAGTGGAATATTATCAATAAGTTAACCTGTTTCTAATGTCAGGGCTCTATGCCGTATAATATTAAACTTTAATAGCAGAGTTAATTAAACTGTAAATCCTGTATGCATAAACATAACCTAACAATATGTATTTTTCCCCTAGAGTCCAATTGCAAATCTGCTGTCTCTCCGTAGGACTGAAAACAATGCCCGTGCCTGCCAGTTGCCTGTGAAAAGCCCTGGAACATTTGCCTGTCCTGACTGAAGGCTATGAAAGAACCTTTGTCTACGCTACTTTTGTAAATACTGTATATTATTTTTTGATTTTGTATGTATTTTTACCTGGGTAAATAAACCAGTTTAAGTTATTTTTGCATTTTAAATTAGACCACCAATCCTAACTGATTCTTAAACCCTACTTTCTCCACTGAATAAAAGCAACCCAAGGTAGGTATTCCTCTGTATCTGGGGAGACAACCGGAGAGGAACCTTGGTAGAGTACTTAAGGCCATAACCAGCCTAGGTACAACACACAACTAAAAAGGCATCAATGATGATATAAAAAAGAATATACACCTTAATATGCAGACCAATCCTGGAATATGGATGTATCGATACATAAGATCTTATTTAATAATGCTCGTAAACCCGCACTAAGCAATATTAAAACTGGGGAAACCTTATAACTCCGAAAAATCTACAAAAAGAAACATCCAAACAACTCTAATTCCAACAACACAAATTAACCTTTAAATTGACATTTGACCTTTTGATGACAGCCCTGATAGAATAAGGTTTATTTTTTACAAAAGAAGTGTAAAATGGCTGTCCTTAGGCCTCATTTAAAGCTTACAAGTGCCTCTGTAAAAAACACAACGTTTAAAACGATTATTAAAAAGCACTAACCCAAAGCACAAGAATTGAACAAAAATGGCCGCCATTAAACTCTGCGCAGTGTTGCAGTGATTTTTAGTATGCGCGAAACGAGATAGACCTTGTCATAGACAAGGGATTGGTTGGGTGGACCTTGTTGTGTGGATTGTGATAGTAATACCTAATAAAAGTTATGTAATGCAATCTGTAATACTGGATTTAATAAATGTTTTTGATTGATTTTATTTCATACGGTGGGGCTCAGTTACGGTGACGTCACGTGGTCGATCCAGCAACCATATGGTCTACGTCGATGCCTCTTTGCTATACCAATCTTATGATATCCATTGGATGTAAAAATTACTCAGTCATACTCAGATAACATAGTATAACTCAGTATAACAATTTGACGTATGCCAGGTCACATATCACATTATCTGTTCATCATTTTTTTATACAGAACTATACCAAGAAAACACATTAGATGTCACAATGAATCCATTAGATAACCATAAATATCCATAAATTGTCCATCAAAGTCGAAAACTGTATTTGACCATTGTCCACATGACAATCCAATGGAGATCCATTGGATTGTTATGTGCTGTGTGGGGAATGACGGTGTCAGAAATGTTTTGTTGTTTTTGGTTACTTTAGTTAAACAAAAAATGTATTTCCGAATTGGTAACCAACATGCGTTTTTTTATTACTACCTACCACATTAGATTTTGATGATATACATTTTTATTATCTTTTAAGGTTTTCATTTATGGAAACGCTAGTATCTTAAAAAACAATTGAATTAATAGTAAACAACAACAAAAGTGCTTAGGGCCTTGGCATTTACCATTTACCATTTACTTTTGACCTTTTACTTTTTCTTCGGAATAACCTCAGCATTCAGAAAAGGTAGTGTGTGCCATGGCTATTTAAAAGAGGTTAAATAACATATAAGACATTGTGTATTACAACACAATGTGTTATATGTCATTATTTTTTTTACCTGGATCGTTTTATTAGATTCCCAGAATTTTATGAGCCCGGATTTGCCCGGAGTGAGGCTCACTCATTTAATCAAAATAGGCTTATTATACACTTACGAATTTAGGGTCACATTTAAAATTTTATGAGCCCGCACGGCGTGCATAACTGCTTTTGTCAAACCATCACGCGTGCCCCTATAGACGTTAGTCAATTAAGGACTCACGCAACCTTCAATGTAAAATTACTATTATTATTATAAATGAATTTCTAAATGTTATCTGGGATTTCCATATTATATCTTTACAAACCGTCAATACCCCAAAACTACAAAGATCAAATTTTATTTAAGGCTTGTTACAAATCTTGGTCAAAATTTAGATTTGACCACACTCTTGAAAACAAAATTTGCTATTAAATCGAGTCATAAGGGCAACTGAAGATGCCCAGATACAGAGCCCAAAATTGTGGTAATGCACAAAGCACTCTCAACTTGAAGAATTAACCAGAAAAAAATTGTTGGCCGTTATAAAGAGTTTTCTAATTCCACATTTATAAATAAAAAACTTACGTCATCACATCTAATATACATTTCTGACATTCCTTCAGGGCTAGGAACTTCCAATTTGATAACGAATTTATTTTGACTAATATTGACGTCTTGGGTGACCTCGCATCCTTTCAAGTTAAAATCAAAGGCCGGATTTACACCATGCATCATCTCCTCCCTGCTCTTGTAGATGTACAGATGAAGGTCACGGCAGGTGAACCAGTACTTTTTGTAACCTTTAAGTGTGAACCTTTTGGGTCTAAAACATAGAAACGTTGGATTAAACTTAGTTGTGGACAATATATTGTCTTTTAATTATGGGCGACCTAAATTTAAGATGTCATACATTAAATAATATTTAAAACTTTTATTTTTGTTTATTAAATGAGTAAGTAGGATATATTAGCTAAATTAAGTAATTTTAGTAGGCTCAACCCCCCACGAAGTTAAATAAATTAAGCAATTCCACTAAATTTAGCTAATATATGCTACTTACTTATTTATAAAACAAAAATAAAAGTTTTAAATATTTTTTAATCACATCTTAAATTTAGGTCGCCCATAATGGAAAATCAAAAATATCAAATACTAAAATTAAAAAGTACGTCACAAAAAAATGTGTTTGAGGGCTCAGGAAACTTTTTTGATTATTTGCGAATAGGCGAAGAATATACTGCATCTGTTCTTTGAATAAGATTGATTTCCCGTTCGGAAGTAGGTTTCATTAGCAACAATTTGCACGAAATTCTAAGAAAAACGTATCCTATGGTCAATTCTGAGGTGGTAATAAGGAATTCTTTACTTGCCCTTTAATAATAAGGAAAATAAAAAAGGCTGGTTCTTTAGTAATAAGATAAGTTGAATCAATGCGACGTGGACATTGCAATCAAACAATTTTGGACACCAAAAGAATAATGTTAAGAGTGCACTTTGTCATCAAAAAATACAAAGAAACCAGGATAACTTTTTGGGATACCTTAGAGCTGAATATAATCATAGGAAGCCATAATAGCGGCCGATAGATTATTTTATATAGGTCTCTATGGGGTATTTTAAGCAGGGCATGACTGTAAGTGCGCCGCAAACGGGAAAAGTTTGGGAATGCACTCAAAAATGTTTGTTTTTTGTTTAAACACGACACGACAGCTTTATAAAATTATGTTTTTATTATTTTTTGTAAGTAAAATAAAGGTAATATTTAAGGTTATATACATGTTTACTATTGTTATTTATTACTTACTTTAAAAACCTTAATTGGTCTTTAAGTTCAGGCACTTGGGTGATGTCATTGGAGGTGGAGTTTAGGCTGGAGCCTTCCAAAGTGGTTTGAAGGTTTGTCAGGGCAGCTTCTATATCGTCTTCCGCAGGAGACGGCGACGATGTTTTATCCATATCTGGTTGCGGACGATCAGCTTGCAAGTTAACTTGAAACTAAACAAATAAGATTGATGTATGAATTGAGGAGAACATTTGTGAAACTATATAATAAAATAACAAAACAATTAAAAAATATATTTTCTTTCGGCGATATCAAAATTACCTAGAACTTTTCATTATACCTCCCTGAAAATACTGTTTCCATGTCTACGAGGATGTTTAGTGGTTGCAGTGGACAACGATTCAAGTAAGGCAGACGCATGGCTATATATACGTATATAAGATCGTGGGCAAATGTATTTTCTGATAGTTGTCATAAAATCAGAACTTTAAATAACTTTGTTATTAAGAGTAACCGCGCGTGGCCTACGAATATTCGGACACATTTTACCGCATAAATGCCAAAATGCCCAAATTGTAGTATGACTTCTTCCCGTTTGAAAATAATTAATACTCCTCGAAAAAACACTAAATTAAAAAAAAATGGGAACATGTAAGCAATAAAAATACTTCTTAGAAAAAGGAAATTTAAGTATCGGAATACATAGCTTGAAATATTGAAATCACGATAATATTTACGATTTAAAATTGGATTAATCCGATTTTTTCTTATTCTAGATAGTACTCCAAAAACGGACATTGTCGACATCGTCGCGTGAGTTCCACAATGTTTCAAGTACATTTTGGTGAAATCTACAATAGATCAACTTTTATGGTTTGCATTAAGGCAAATATTAATATAGTCGCCGCGGCGAATGTTTTCCGTTGCGTCATCAATTTCAAATGTCAAAAACCGATTTGTCGACATAGTCCGATATACGTATATAAAGAAAACAGCAGTAATAGCAGTCTGTACTTGGTTCATAAATTGATGACGCATCGGGAAACATTCGCCGTAGCGACTATATTTGCCTAATTAGTATGATTTATATTGCAACGGGTTTTGAGTGAAACAGTGTGAACATTTTCATAATTATTAAAAATCTATTACAAGGCCTGCTAAGATCTGCTAAATGGGTCGAAATTTAGAGAACGACCATTAAGCAATTTTTTTTCAAAAAAATCGATAGCGCATTAGATTCATGTACTTACCCCAAATAAATTTATACAAAGATTGGGCTCCATACATTTAAGTCAATTTTTAGAGTATAAAAATAAAAAATAAGTCAAGCTTTGTAAAGCCCTGTAAACTCTTGTAGAGTTTAGGAAATTATGAGGGTAGTTATAACTATATATATATATCTATATATCTGACATCCCTGCTGAAAAAGCCGGGTGATTGCAGGCATGTGAGGGTGAAAAACCAAGCTGGTTTTACATCCGGTTATATATGTTTTTAGCCTGCCATGTCAGATTTTGCCGGCACGCCTGCTTTCACCTGCGCTGCCGGGTGTAAATATCACCAGCAAACGCCCGGCATTGACGTTAATTATAAATAATTATTATGGTTAAAAGCAAACGTTTGCGGACGAATGCAGACGTACGCAGGTAAAAACATACTTTTACCTGCGTACGTCTGCATTCGTCCGCAAACGTCTGCTTTTAACCACGAACGTCTGCTTTCACACGCAAACGTCTGCTTTTACCCGCGAACGTCTGATTTCATCCGCGAACGTCTGCTTTTACCTGCGAACGCCTGCTTCGCTTTGTCTACGAACGCCCGGTTATACCTGTCTTTCGTCCGGTAAGTGCACTCCTGCAATCATCTGAAATCGCCGGCATTCACTTTTATCTACTTTCGCCCGTTTTCACCCGCAAACGTCTGCTTTCACTTGCGAACGTCTACTTTCATCCGCTAACGTCTGCTTTCACCCGCGTACGTCTGCGTTCATCCGGTTTTATCTGAGAACGTCTGTTTCAGTCTGCGAACGTCTGCTTTTGCCTGCGAACGCCTGCTTCGCTTCGTCTAAAGCTATGTTTGATGTCAACGCAGTCGTTCAGTTGAGCTTACAGTGACAGTTATTAAAGAAGCCGTTATTTTAACGAATTTTAAAATGACAACCAAGTTTTTATCAGAGGAAGACGAGAAATTGATTGATCTCGTACGAGAACATCCCCCATTGTACACTGTTAAAACTAAAAGTTACAAGGACAATACCGTAAAACGGGGTTACTTTGCACTTTGATGGGTAACTTTGCACCACTGCTGTAAAAGTATATATAAATATAATAATATATATAATAATAATTTGTAAATTTTATTCATTTTAAGGTTTTGTTTTTGGAATCTTTTTTTAAAATAAACCCCTTTTAATATTGGTTTTAATTTAATAAAACTGGTGCAAAGTTACCCATCAAAGTGCAAAGTAACCCCGTTTTACGGTACTATAAAAAATAAAAATAAAATAAATACTAATAAATGTTTTGTGCCTGCACCTACAACTAAGCACTAAATCACCCATTGTTATGATATTAATAAATTTTACCGAAATATTAATAAATATTTGTTGTCTGCACCTACCAGCATATAAACTATTTCAATTATAACAAAATACCCTCTCCGAAAAAGTTGAACGCTACAGTTTCTGCTAACCGCGTATGTTGTCACAAACCATAGCTTAAGAAGGCCCGCAAACGTCGGCTTTGATCCGCGAACGTCGGCTTTGATCCGCGAACGTCGGCTTTCGTCCGCGAACGTCGGCTTTCGTCCGCGAACGTCGGCTTTCGTCCGCGAACGTTGGCTTCGTCCGCGAACGTCGGCTTTCGTCCGCGAACGTCGGCTTTCGTCCGCGAACGTCGGCTTTCGTCCGCGAACGTCGGCTTTCGTCCGCGAACGTCGGCTTTCGTCCGCGAACGTCGGCTTTCGTCCGCGAACGTCGGCTTTCGTCCGCGAACGTCGGCTTTCGTCCGCGAACGTCGGCTTTCGTCCGCGAACGTCGGCTTTCGTCCGCGAACGTCGGCTTTCGTCCGCGAACGTCGGCTTTCGTCCGCGAACGTCGGCTTTCGTCCGCGAACGTCGGCTTTCGTCCGCGAACGACGGCTTTCGTCCGCGAACGTCGGCTTTCGTCGGCGAACGTCGGCTTTCGTCCGCGAACGACGGCTTTCGTCCGCGAACGTCGGCTTTCGTCCGCGAACGTCGGCTTTCGTCCGCGAACGACGGCTTTCGTCCGCGAACGTCGGCTTTCGTCCGCGAACGTCGGCTTTCGTCCGCGAACGTCTGCTTTCATCCGCAAATGTCTGCTTTCACCTGCGTACGTCTGTTTTTACCCGCAAACGTCTGCTTTCAGTCTGCGAACGTCTGCTTTCACCCGCGAACGTCTGCTTTCACACACAAACGTCTGCTTTTACCTGCGTACGCCTGCTTCGTCTACGAACGCTTCGTCTACGAACGCCCGCAAACGTTGGCTTTCGACCGCGAACGTCGGAATCGTCCGCGAACGTCGGCTTTCGTCCGCGAACGTCTGCTTTTACCCGCAAACGTCTGCTTTTACCTGCGCACGCCTGCTTCGCTCCGTCTACGAACGCCCGCAAACGTCAGCTTTGGTCCGCGAACGTCTGCTTTCATCCGCAAATGTCTGCTTTCACCTGCGTACGTCTGTTTTTACCCGCAAACGTCTGCTTTCAGTCTGCGAACGTCTGCTTTTACCCGCGAACGTCTGCTTTCACACACAAACGTCTGCTTTTACCTGCGAACGCCTGCTTCGCTTCGTCTACGAACGCGCGCAAACGTCGGCTTTCGTCCTCGAACGTCTGTTTGCCTGCATTTTGTTTTTTTCTTTTTTTGTTCGATTTCATCCTCGAACGTCTGCTTTCACCCGCAAACGTCGTTTTTATCCGACAAAATTTTGTCGTTTTAATCGTTATTTTACTCCGGATTTAGTAGGTTTATAAGTTTTGTCCACAGACCCATGGTTTTATCCGCCATACTTGCCCGCTCTTGTCTGTTTTCGTCTGTTTTGTTTTATTTGTATTTAGTCGCCCTTAGCATAACTTCTTAACGGAATTATTTAAATTTAAAAAAATGTAAAGAAAATAAATTTATTGGATTTTTCGCAAAACAGAAAATAAGTCTTCATTAAAAATAATAAACATTTTTTCATTATTACACAGGCAGGTAACTGTGCTATGTTTTTCTATCTCATGAGCTAAGGCATCTGCGCAGAAAAGCACGGTTGTCGTTTATTTTTACTTCTTAAAAACCGTAGCTCGGTGGCCATTGAAGGTGGACACTCGAAATTTGCATCCTATTTTTGTGCCCACGAGACCTACCTGCGGACCAAATTTTTCCGGTGTCGAAAAGGCCCAAGTCCACTTTTTTCGATTTTTCCGTCAAATTTTGCCCGTTCCGTTGAAATCGCCTAACTTTCGAATAAGTGGAGATTTTTCGGCCTAACCCGGGGAAAAAGTGCTTCGGGACGATAATTCGTTTCGTATTGCAAACGGGCCGGATCCGTCGGAAACTTGCGAGTTGCGATCTTTTTTTTTATTTTTTTCAAAAAATTTTTAAACGTTTTGTAGGGCGAGAGAAATTTTCGAAATTGGCAAAACGAAATACACGAATCGACGGGTAAAAGAACAAAGTTTGACATACTTAAAGATGAGTTTTATCGAATAAAAACTAATCCCGTATAATTTTTGTTGAGTATTTAAAAAAGTTAACCAATTAAAATTCCCAAAATCAAATCGATTACAGGGGGATCCAACAAAATATTAAGTAATAATGCGGCATTGGCAAATTTAATTGCGGTGTTGCCAGCTTTTGCATAAATTTCTCAAACAAAAAATATATATATAAATATATACAGGGTGTTTCTTTTAACTTGATACAGCTCAATATCTCGAGAAATACGCATTCCACGGAAAAATGTCTTAAATAAAAGGTTAATTTGACCAAAGGGGACATTATTTGGTGCTACCGCTAACCACCCCCTACCCCTCCTTAAGGGTGAAATGGGGGGTACTTTTGGAAATTCAAATTGGTAGTACATACAAAAATGAATAACTTGTAATTGAAACTTTTTTTAATTTATCAACAGATGGCGCTGTAATCCAAAATTTAAGAAAAATGGGTTTCCTTGTAAAATGTATTAATGAAACGTTTGAAAAACAAAAAT